ATACTTCCAAATAGGTAGAATAAAGTTGCTGAAGTGGGAAGGTCTGTATACACTACTCCCAGGAGCCAACTCCATTCACCCCTCTGCCTTTTCCAACCCACAGGGCAATCCACAAAGTTCAGTAGGCAGCCAGTGAACTTGGCTTCCAGAGAGATCACCATCTGTTTTTCTACCTCTAATAAATAAAGTACCTCTGCTCTATAAATTCACATTGCTTGTGGGACTAAGGCCTAGAATGAAAATGGAGATAGAATTTGTGTCCAATGTTAATGGGTTTTAAAAAAATTTTCGTGGGTAGGAAGTTTACGGTGTAAGAATGTATGCACTGCATAAGTCTGAATTTGATCGGGTTTGAATAATGCTACCATGTCCTAAAACCCTGGGCATTATACACTTTCCAAATGTACAGTGTCATCAAGGTTTTATGACATTTCCTACAAAAAATCAATAGTCAGGTAGCACTTCATCAGTTACAGTTTAAATTCAGGTTTGGGAACAGAAAACTACGGCTGCAGCATGAAAACCGTTCCACTCTTCTGATTTCGGTGTCATAGCCCCACGGGAATATTCCACTAAACACTTCTACATGTGCATTTTTGTGCCCTACTAAGAGAACTCCATATCTTGGAATTGCAGAGTAAAGCCAAAGTATGATAGTAGGGCCAAAAATCCACTCTAGAAGATCTCTGTCTTCCTACAAAAGCTTCATCAGAGATGCTTCTTCACCTGGGGTTTTCTGTTTATTCAGTCTCACTTCCTTCTTCAAGTGACGAAATGCTTAGAGCATCATGTCCATGCCTGTCTACATGGCTTACGGAGCACACAAGACTTCTGAGGCCCAGAGCTCTGAAGGCAAAGCTGACAGATATGAAATGCAAGCCTAGCTTTGCCAGGTTAAATGTGGCCAGGAAAGGAGCATACCTAGTTCTACTGGCATGAAAACGGAGTTGCAAAAGAGTCTATGAGAAAAAAATATTAAGTAATACTGCATATCTGACATTGACATGATCTTATTATTCTTCCATGCCAACATACCCTAATCCAAAGCTTATGCTATTCCAATCCAAACCTGCCCTAAAACAGCCAATTACACTGAATGTAGTTTAAGCTCCAAGGAGTCTCCAGACTTAAAGACAATGTTTCATTAGCACATTCGTTTTTGTATTATTTATACATTTTGAGTCAGTTTCTAAATCATATGCATCACTTCTCTAGGGATTACTTCTCTTTCACATTGCAGGTTTAATAGAGCTCCTGTGGCTTTGCTATTTTGCCAGGGGTTTTATTTCCTCCCCAAATGTATCGGTAAACTTGGTTTAAAAACCTGAAGCTGAGCAACCTCTCCAAATAAACATGAAACATTTCCAAACCCATTATCTACATGACTTAAACAAGTGATATCACAATCATGTTGCCAAAAGGGGCCATAATATATAACTGGCTTTGTTCTAGAACTTCCAAACTAGTTCCCAAATTTTGAGTCTGGCTGTGGAGGAAAGTTTAAAATTCTGCAAAATATTTGCATTGGCAAAGTGGTCATTTGCCACTTATTCATTGAAAGTGTCATCCCAAAATATTCACTGAGAAAACTGTTATCATTTATTCCTCAAGAATGAATGCACTTAGTCTCAACTCCTGACAAAAAGAACAAGTGTGATATTTTTCCTCAATTCACTCTCACGCCAGGTGTCATCATAAAAAGTGAAATCAAAAGAAAAATGAGGCTTAGTCTCTTAATTTACATTATTTTATTATATATTCCAAAAGACAAAAAATACTTTTATCTAGGCCATGTGACCTGAGGCAAGCTTACCATAAGCCTCAATATTCCTCAATTCCTTAGATTAATAATTGAGCCCATCTCACCAGGTAGTGGTCATGAGTAAGTAAACAGTGTTTGTAACAAGCACTATTTACGTAAGTAAACACAGTATCCAGCATACAGTGCTCAATATAAGTAAGTTCAATAAATGTAAACTTTTGTTATTATTTGCAGCTGGAGATTTTAAATGAAAAATCTTTTGAATCCTTAGAACATGCTCCCAGACCTGCTACTATCTCTGTGTTATTCCCACCTACGCTAGACAGCCCCTTTGATTCAAGGATTCTTAATAATCTCTGCTCAGCTCTCTTCTAAATTTCTGTATCAGTTAGCTTGTGCTGCAAGAGGAGGATCCAATGACCATGACCTTGTCCATGAAGATCTCTACTTACCATCTACAAGTGATATCATAATCATATTGGTGGAAGGGGCCATAATGTACAACTGGCTTTGTTCTAGAACTCCCAAACTAGTTCCCAAACTTTTGAGCCTGGCTGTGGAGGAAAGTTTAAAATTCTGCAAAATTTGTTCATGAAGATCTCTATAGAAATGAATTAATAATACAATTCATCAAATCACCAACATCCCGAGCAGTGTCTCTACTTTTAACTCTTTGGTAAAGTCTCTATGATTTAGTTTAAATCTAACTTTGTTTTTAAAATGTGATAGGCACTATTCTGTACATGAATGTACCATTTAGGTTCTGGCTGACCCCAACAGAACAGGAAGAGACTAACTGGCTCTCAGAGTTTAAGAAAGACTAGAGAACTCACTATTGAAAAGTCAAAAGCATGGGCAATATCCTAATAGATATTAGAATGGATTAATAATCTCATCACAGCCTCTGCACTGAAACAAATGAATGCCAAGTGTTGTCATCATCTTCGCATGGCTCTGTCCTTGAATCAAATTCACAGGAATGAGTCTCTTGGCAGCAAGGGGTGAGCATGTAATCTAACCTTAGCCCATCAAATGCTCCTACCCAAGATTTTAACTCTGGAGCAAGTTCATTTATTCATTCATTCAACAAATATTAAGCATTTAGTACCTTTTGGGTACTAAAGATATGTGGAAAAAGTCTGTCCTTTTGGAATTTATATTCTAGTAATATGAATGAACTATATATATATATGTATATTTAAATATATATATTTATTTATATGTTTAATATACATTTAGATCAAATACACACACACACACACACACACACACACACACACACACATATGTCAGATGGTAAAGAGTTCTTAAAACGATAAAACTGGATGAGAGAAGACAGAGGGCAGGAATGTGGGTGGTTATGCGATTTTATGTAGAATGGACAAAAAAGGCCTGTAACAAAGCGCGATTTGAACAGAGACCTGAAAGAAGCAAAGGCGTGAGCCATGTGGCTATTTCGAGCAGTTCTGTCAATAGGAACATAATGTGAGTCACATAGGTAATTTTAAGCTTTCTAGTAATCACACTAAAAAAAAAAAAAAAAAAAAAAAAGGTGAAATTCATTTTCATAACATATTTTACCTGATAAGTCCAAAATATTTTCAACATATAATCAATATAAAAAATTATTCATGAGAGATCTTTCATTTTTTCATAGTAAGTCTTCCAAATCTGATGTGCACTTCACACTTGCAGCACATCTCAGTCAAGGCCTTAATCGCTGCTTGTGGCTCATGCCTACCATAATGGGCAGCACTGGTTCAGAATGAGAGTGTCCCCGTAAAGACTACAGCAAATGCCAAGTACCAAGAGAGCATGTCTGACGTGTCTGCAGAAGAGCACAAAGTGATTGATGTAATGTGAGCAAAGGAGAAGGCGGTGAGACAGGAGGCCAGACTGGCCAGAGGCAGCCCAATCCTGCAGGGTGTCCTGGGCCCTTGCAAGGACTTCCACTGTTACTCTGAGTGATGAAGGAAGCCAATGGTAGTGGGGACAGCTCCATGGGCCTCTGACCTGTGCAGCTGCACAGGACCCCATGCTTGGTTTAATGCTCTGATGTTACTATCCTGAAATTCTCAATTTTGGGACAGGGGCTTCACATTTACATTACGCAATGAATGCTCCCCCCCCACAAATTATGTAACTGGTTGTGACTGGAGAGTTTTGATCAGAGACTGACATGAACTGTTTTATGCTTTACATGGATTAATCCAGTTTCTGTGTTAAGAATAGGCTGTAGGAAACATGAGGGTGAATGCAAGAAAAACACCTGAAATGCTGTTGATCAACGCTAGGTGAGAAACAATGACAGCAGGTGACACCAAGAGCAGGGGCCAGTTACTTCCATTTGCTGCAGCCACAGCAGAGAACCTGGCAACATGCCTGTGGAGAGCAGCATCCAGGCCAGGGGCTCCTGCTGCCCACCACTGATTTCCACCTTGTTTCCACTCTGGTCACCTGTTCATCTGAGAGCCATGTATCTTCCCAACACATTTTCTTTTTTTTTAAAGAACAGCCATTGGTTTCTCTTCTCACCTCTCCTTTTACTAAGAGAGGGGAGGATACACAATGGTCTCACTAAAACTATATACAGTAGCAAATAGGAATTCTCCAAAAGAAAATCAGGGGATTATCACAAAATCAGAGTCCCCTATAAGGGAGAAAATGAGCTGCTAAAGGAAGGAAGGAAGGGTCCTAATGAGGTCGAGCATCTTCTGTGTTACATCACTGTGGCTGGAAATTATTATACATTCTTTCCATTGCATTCAATTAAGTAATGGGTATAAAACATTACCCCTACCTCCCAAAAATCTACATGGGCTTCACAGGATAGGATCTACTACAATTTATGTGAATATAAAATGTATCTAAATACATTCAGGACCCACAAAATACTTTGCTAACTCTCAGTAAGGAAACAGAAAAAAATTAACTTTGGAGACCTTTTGTTTTTTAGATTTGTATCTAAATTTGTACAATTATCTCTATGTTTAAGCTGGCGAATAAAAAATAATAATCACTGTTTAGTTTCTAGGTAATCAAATAGAAAATTCATTAGGCGATGCTAAATACTGACATAACACAACTACCAGTAAGTGAAATACCAGTATGAAAATCAGCCTATACTTCCTAATCTAAAATTCATAAAAGATTTCGTATTTGCCATGTGCTCAAAGTTTTTCTAAAATGACAAAACATGGATGATACCCCACTTGAAGGGCTTATGTCAGCTACTCACCTTTTTCTGAAGAACATTAATTTTTCTTTCCTTCACTTCTAACATATCTTTCATGTCACGAATCTCACCAGCCAGTGTCCCCTTCTCTTCTGTGAGGTCCTGCAGCTGTTTTGTTTTTTTATTGAGGAAAGATTCTTTTTCTTCCAGTCGTAATCTCAGTGCATCTACCTAAATTGGAAAAAAGACAGAAGGTTGTGATTTCACTAAAAGGTCATCAATAGCCATCAGTCCCGCCCTTGGAGCGGGGAGGGCAGCAGCAAGTTTCCTGAGCAAGGCACAATGGAACCACTGCTCATGGCACCCCACTGCCCTGAATTTTAACAGCCTACATCCTTCTTAAAGCCTTGTTGTCTGTACATCTCAATAGTGACACTTTTAAAAAATAAGCCTTCTATGAAATAAGACATTATGAAATAGTAGTAGGTTTCCATGTTTGTTTCCCCTCTTATGGGAAACAACATGTTTGCTTAAGCTGGGAAACAAAACACATCAATATTGCCACGTCTCTGAGAGCCCAGGGAGGGTAAAATACTGCTCAAGCTTTGCAGTATCCTCCAGGAATACAGAGAACACAATGAGCCATGCCATGGACATCTGGAGGAACAAGATTGACATGTAGAGAAACACTCCTAAATTAGAAAAATACATGTTGCCAAGAGGACACTCATGCTACCAGAGGAAGAAAATAAGATAGAAATGAAACACCCATTCTCCAGCCTCATGAAAGACTGCTTTCCAAATATTTAAAAAAAAAAAAAAAAGATAAAGCATACAAAAAAATTTCCCCTTTGTAGCTCAGCTCTAACATTTAAAAACATATAATACCTGCTTTTCAAATGTTAATTTAAAAAAAAGAAAATATAAGTTTTATTTTTTAAATTTAACATTCTGAAGACCATGCACAAAGAAAGGTCTATTTCTATACTACTCAGACTAGACTATAGAAAAAAATCACTGGAGTGGTTAAAAAAAAAAAAAAAAAAGAGACAACAAAAAGCATATGAAGACCATTAGAATGTCATTTTAATTTACTATAGCCTTTTAAAATTGTACTTTTTTGATATACAACACCATATTTGCAACTGTGTTTATAAATGTACACTAATCGAGTCTTAAAATGCAACTATGTCAAACATTTTATTTGAAGAATCATTGTCCTTAATTATTGACAGTGACAGACTATGAGATTTCCAAGGTAATTCTTCTCAACTAAACTATAACATTCAATATGTTACTCCTAAGACATTTACTTTTTTTAATTGGATGTACATTAAAAAAAAGATTAGGAACCTTTGCCACAATTATTTTGCTGCCACTTCAGCAGATACTACTGTTACAGTCTGAAATGTGCTGCTCGAAATTCATAAGTTGAAATCAAATCCCAAATACAATAATATTAAAAGTTAGGGCCTTTAGGAGGTGATTGGGTCATGAGGGCAAAGTACATCATGAATGGGACTAATTCCTTTGTAAAAGAAGCCCAAAGGGGTTCATTCACCCCTTCCACCATGTGAGAACACAGCAAGATGGCACCATATCTGAAGCATTGATTGATCCCTCATCAGACAAGAAATCTGCTGCTGCCTTGATCTTGGATTTTCCAGGCTCTACAACTGTAAGATATACATTTCTGTTGTTTATAAGCCACCCAGTCTAGGTACTTTGTTTTAGCAGCCTGAATGAACTAAGACAACCACCATGATTTATTTTTTTCTGGATTATTAAAGACACCTTAACATGTGATCATATGTCAAAGCCAGGGTTAGAACCATCCAGGAACTAACACTTCAAGGATCAGTCCTGATTCCTTTGGGAAGGAATGTATGAAGTAACTCTTTGTTAGTATCGTTGATGTGGGAAAGGAATATACTATGTTCAATACAACAAATCAAAATTAAATAAGATCATATAGAATAGGGGTCCCCAACCCTCAGACCAGTTCCAGTCCAAGGCCTGTTAGGAACCAGGCTGCACAGCAGGAGTTGAGTGTCAGTCAAGCATTACCACCTGAGTGCTGCCTCCTGCCAGATCAGCAGTGGCATTAGATTTTCATAGAATCTAATGAACTAGCTCTCTCACATGTGCAGTTCACAAGAGTGTTCATGCTCCTGTGACAGTCTAATGCCTGATGATCTGGTGTGGAACAGTTTCATTCCAAAACCATCCCTGACACCCCACACCTCCTCATCTGTGGAAAAGCTGTCTTCCACAAAACCAGTCCCTGGTGCCAAAAAGGCTGGGGACTGCTGATATAGGGAATCTAAAGGACATGTCCACAAAATGATTTTTATAGAGATGCCCATACCAGCATTGTTCATAATGGATCACACAGGGAATAATACAAATGTCTATCAGCAAATGACAGGATAAATAAAATGGTGGTATATTTACATAGAATGCTATCTATCCATAAAAAGCAGTGAACTGCACATGCACACAATACAAAAGTGAATCTCAAAAGAATACTGAGTGAAAGAATCTAGAGGATTTATTGCACGATTGTGTTTCCACTTCTGTGAAATTCTAAAGGAGGTGAAACTAATCTGTGGTGACAGAAGTGAAAGCAACAGTTGCCTGGGGTGGAAGGTGGGAAGGGCTGATTATAAAGGGACAGGAGGTATTTTTTGTTCTCTAAATTGATTAGGGAGAGTGGAGAACCGTTACATGGTGTACAGAATTGTCAAAACTGATTTAACTGTATAGTTTAATAATTTATACTTTGACAGTTATAATTTATATTTTAATGAATTTGAAAAATATATGAATATACAACTAAGAATTAACAAACATCTTACAACAATGTCTTTCATGAAAGAGAGAGGTCAAAACAAAACACCAACCTAGAAACTAAATTACCTTATAACTGGGAGAATGAAGTAGGGGTTAGATAAGGTTCACATGGGTAATGAGGTATCGGGGTGATGGAAGGGTTTAGTCATCACCTTCCACAGCAGGAAGATAACAGATAGTAGCTACACCAGCAATCAGGAAGTAGACAAGCAAGCACGTTATTAAGAGATATCAAAATAATGAAACAAGAAGAGTTAAAAGAGTTTGTCTTGGGGAAGAAAAAAATGAAAGTAGAGGATTGCTATATCTCATAACAAAAATTTTCAAACATTTTGCTTCCTTATCCTATAGGCAAGCAAAATTTGAATGGAAAGAAAAAAGACAAAAGAAATCAAAAACAAAAATGATACAAGAATGCCATTAGAAACCAGTAGAAGATATACAAATAGCCAACAAACATATGAAAAAATACTCAACAACACTAATTGCCAGGGAAATGCAAATTAAAACCACAGTGAGATACCACCTCATCCCAGCCAGAATGACTATTATTGAGAAGTCAAAAAAACAACAGATGTTGGCATGGATGTGGTGAAAAGGGAAGGCTTATACACTGCTGATGAGAATGCAAATTAGTAAAATTACTACAAGCTATATGGAAAACAATATGGAGATTTCTCAAATAACTAAAAGTCAGTCTACTATTCAATCCCACTACTGGGTATCTACCCAAAAGGAAAGAAGTCATTACATCAAAAAGATACCTATATGTGTATGTTTATCACAACACAATTCACAATTGCAAATATATGGAATCAACTTAAGTGACTATCAAAGAATGAGTAGATAAGAGTAAAGTAATATATATACACATATATAGTATATTTATAGCTGAGTATTCATATATATGAATATATATATGTGTGTGTATATATATATACATATATACATACATATGTATATATATATACACATATATATATAATTGTATATGTGTGTGTGTGTGTGTATATATATATATATATATACACACACAATTATTTGGTGTCAAGAGGCAGAGAAAAATATTCCATATACCCAACATGGCAGGAGGGAGCCCCTGCCAGCTGGATATTCACATATATATGAATAAAAAAAGAATGAAATAATGTCTTCTGTAACAACCTGGCTGGAACTTCAGGCCATCATTCCATGTGAAGTAACTCAGCAATAGAAACCCAAATAATACATGTTCTCACTTGTAAGTGGGAGCTAAGCTCTGGGTACACAGAGGCATGTGGAGTGGTATAATGGACACTGGAGACTCCGAAGCAGGAAGCGTGTCAGGAGGATGAGGAATAAAAAGCTACCTGCTGGGTGCAAGTACACTACTCAGGTGATGGGTACACTAAAATCCCAGACTTCACCACTATACAATTTATCCATGTAACCAAAAACTACCTATACTCCTAAAGATACTGAAATTTAAAAATTAAAATAAAGAAAAGTTCAGGGCAGCAGAGGGTGACATTTGAAAGAAAAAAAAAGAAGCCAATAGGAACAATAGAAAGAGGACACTGAGGTTTTTAGGACTCGTTCTGCTTTTATCTGACTGAGAGGATTGGGGCAGATAACTCTCACTTCCCCTGCCCCATCCTTCCAGCCTCAGTTTCTCCATCTATAAAACCAAGAGGTGTGAATAAATCATACCTGACATCTTAGGATTTTTAAAAGCAGGAATCCATTTTGGGTAGAATGCATCAGGGAAGGATGATGATATTAGAGATAAAGAAAAATTATTGAAGTAGAATATCCTCTTCTAAAGGTCAAAGGTGACAGGGAGGTGGGGGAGTAGAGAGTTTTTGCAGTTTCTGCTCCAGTGAAAAGGATGAAGCTGACTGGGAGGTCCCAGTAGGGGAAAGGGTGATCACAAAGCCCCCAAGCCCTAGTGGCCCTGACTGCATTACAAGAAAGGGTGGACATTCTGTGACTGGAGAGGAGAATGACAGATTCTTCAAATATCTGAAAGCTGTGCCCCTTCTCACATAATGGTCAGAAAGATATAGGGCCTTGGAAGGTGGAGGGGTACTCATGTCCTAGGGATCTTCCCCTTCCTAAATTAAAATTCATGCCAGGTGCACTAAAGATGAAGCATCCCAGATTCTCATGTGGCTCATCTTTGTTTAAAGTTACCTTCATCTATCAACCTGGCATAACACCACTACTTCTTTTTGGGTTTTCATTATATCTGGTGAAAAAATATGATTTTGAGTTTATGCATAAAGCATAGGCATTTGGTGGATGATTGGAAAATTGGCAGAATATGCTAAGCACTCTGGATTATGGCAGTGGTTATAAAGGGGTTACAATCCATTGTAGATATTTGCACATGGGCTTAC